TTTTTTTTTTTTTTTTTTTTTTTTTTGCTCCCTTGAAGGCTTCTTCCTCAGGGTTCCTTCACCCTGACAGTGCTACTGGTGAAAAGAATGAGAAGTTGTTAGGATCAGCTCCATCTTACATACTGAGAGAAGAAGGAACAAATGTGGTGGGACTGTGGTTAAGCCCATCATAAGCATTACTTTGTCCAAGATTGACACGCTAACACATTATCCTCCGGGAAATTTAATTCTTGGGGGGTGGGACACTAAATGACCCGAGACTTGACCATTTGAAGGAGCATTTCTGCTCATACTCATATATCACTCTAAGTCTGACTAGGACATTCATCTGTCCTGTGTATAGTGGAAACTGGATGGATAGGCATTTTTCTAGTATACTTCCCAGATTATGCAATTCCCTAATGTTGGGGTTTCCTTTTCTCTTTGCACATCTATGTGGAAGGTGAAGACCATTTTTTGAACATCTTTCATAAAACTGAAAGTTTATCGTTCTTGGTAGTTTAAGATTTACCATTCTTTTCCGTTGTTCCCTCTGCGTTGGGAGGGGTGGTCATTGTTAGGCTGAATCTTATGAAAACACTGATTTCTATTATGACTGTTAAACTGGTCTGGGACCTGTTTAGCGTTGAATTTATTAAAAAAAAAAAGATTTTCTATTTTGCAGTGTGTACATGCTTAAAAGTTCATACTATAGTAGATGCAAGCAGACATGGAAACTTCTAAAATGCCTCCTTTATCAGAGCCAGAAGTAGAAGTCAGCATTCCATAACAGTTGCCTTCAGACCTCCACACATTAAATAGAAAGCAACATGTCAGATCAAATGCTGTTAATGTCGATATTAAATGAAACTAAATAAATAAACATAAACTAGCAGAGTCCAAGTGTGGTGCATTTATGACAGCTTTAAGGAAAATTTCAGGCAGTAGGATGCATGCAAATCATCTTATCCATGCAAACATCTCATAAAATTTATATAAAATTCTATGAAATTGTTGTTAACCTGAATGGGTATGTTATGGTAACCATGTCACCAACTAATTAACTTTACCAATTGTGTCTTTGTATATTTTTGACCACTGTAATAAAGTATTAGTAATCCAAATTAGTTCCTACAGACATTTAAGCAGTAGACAGATATGGATTTTCTTAATTTTGATTTTCTTAGCTTTGAAT